GGGAGTACCCCCCCCCCCCCGGGTGTATGGTCCACCTAACACATGAATTTTCCGCAACTTCCAATAGCGATTTCTGAAAATTTCCAAAAAAGAGGACAACCTCGATACCCAAATTTTCGAATTTTTTTCCCGGAGGTTCTCTTTATTTCCATTTTGAACTTTGCTCCCCGCATTTCTAGAATTTTTGGTTGAATGACTCGCATTTCGGAAATTCAACAGCTTTCGGAATTTCTGTTTCGAACGTTTGGCGCCCACTATTTCTGCGGAAAAAATGACGTCATGGCTAAATTAACACGTGGTTCTCTGCGGATTCAAATTCCCGGATAAGACAAGTCACGTCAGCAAATGTGGCAACAACATGGCGGATGACAGGGAAGAGGGTATGGACGGTATTCGCGAGACAGATTTAAACGACGATGTGATTTCCGGTGCCATTGGAACTAATGCAATAACGAGTATCGATTTGGAAGAAGAAGACCCAAGGCGTTTCCCTGGCATGGATGAAATGTTGAAAGTTGCGACTGATCTGCAAGATAGTGGACATTCGGTACAACTCAACGATTCACCGGCCGCAACGCCCAGATTAGAATTAGAAAATTCTGGTGAGGAACACATAACTTACCTAACTGCTGAGGCCTTATTGTTATTGGTTTTTTCGTCTCGCAGCATCGATTTGAAAGTTTCCCTGTTCTTTCACAAAAAATTTGACACATCACTCACACGTTTGGCCAAGCGAGTACTTTCCAGTAGGCAAAAATTTGTTGTAAAGGGGAAAATGGAATTGAAGTTCTTAGCTAGATGAATCAAAGCTTATTTGAGCCCCTTTGCTTACATCCAATTCGTAGCGTTATTGGGAAGTAAAACGTCCTTATACTCTACAACAGTACTGCTCGAAGTTTTACTAGTAAGTCCAACACAGTAATAGATGCTTTCTACGGTTTCAACAGTTTTCTTAAGGAAAATGAGTGAACCTGCGAGAAATGCTCCACACTCACAGTCTCTGAGATATAGTCTATTTATGATGATAAATTACACAGGAAACATTTAAAGAATTTTCTGAACTTTATGTGTCGGTCAAATGGAAGCTTCAATCCCCCCTCCCCTCAAGGTTATGTTACACGGAATGATTCGCAACGACTATTTTTAGCGCAACACATATTTACAACATTGTTGCGACCTTGTTTCGAACAGTTGCAACATTGTTCCAACATTGCAATGTAGTGTTCTTGTTGCAAATCTTCCTGTGTAACATCACTTTTGATGAACATAGGCTTCTGCGGGGTGGGAACTTGAAGGCTAGCCTCACTTCATATGACTTGTTGCAGCATTCTGTTTTAGATGCATCGGGGTGCACTTTGAATTACAGTCCAGGCTGATAACTCATAATGACATTATATCCACTGTTGTAGTAACTTCTTTAATGTACTGTTTAGAGCAGGCATAGCTTCCTTTTTTAGTAGCCTGAGAAAACAGCTAACATTTTGCATTATGCTACCACTGGTTTCCCCATAAAACAACATCTGAGAAATGAGCACAAAATTCAATACTGTTGATGTGACACTACCCAGTTTTTGGTAGTGATTCGTACTGGTCGGAAATGGAGTTTTTGTGCTCATTCCTCAGTGGTCATTTCACTGGAAAATCAGTGGTGGCATCACAAAATGTTGGCTGTTTTTTCAGGGTACAGTGGAACCTCGATTTACAAACCTCTATGTAATGAAGTCCTCAGTATAATGAACGATATTTCCTGCCTGACTAATAGTAGAATATGTGGAAAGGAACCTTGATATAATGAAACCTCCTTATAGCGAACATATTTTGTTGGTCCCTTGGCCCTGTGTTATATCAAGGTTCCACTTTGCACCGTAGCTTTAGCTTACAATATTCATTTTTATTTTTAGAAAAGTTGCTTTCAGAAATTATTTGACATTAGATTCTCATTCAAATGCTGTAATTTTGCATGTGGTTGCCTACTTGTCAACATGGCTTCCAAATTTGTGATAAGGCCTGTTGCTGTGAAATTTTAACAGATATCCATCCATGAGAGGCCCTATAAGTGTTGGTAAACTGGTGGTGGTAACTGGCATGTATTGAAAGTTCTAATTAAACTGACCTCTATTAAGAGCAAACCCTTTATTGAGCGGACAAGAGCATTAGTCAGTTTTACCCTTTTCTTCCCATATTTTTTTTTGTAAAACAGGCCTGTGTTTTGTTTACTCCTCTATAAACAAAGTATTTTTCCATGGATGCATGTTAAACATAGATTTCACTGTTCTATTAGTTTACTTGAGTAATAAATCCATGGAGGATATTCTTTCAGCTTGTGATCCTCTAGCTGATATATTACAGTAAAACCTCTATGAAGCGGACACCTTCGGGACCTCCCCAAATTTCTGCTTAATGGAGGTTTGCAAAAATTGCACAGTGTTTGTTAACAATTAACATTCAATGGTTACTTTGTACTGTGATAAAGTTCCATCTTGTTAAGGGTGGATTTGATTGTGAAAAGCTGTGCTGTGCTTTGTGCAAGACTTTTCACGGAACTTTGATTGCGGATGACAATCATTTGGCCAGATATTGGCCCAAGCTACATTTGATTGACAGCTAAATGTATTGATTTATAAAGTAAACCAATAGTCCAGTTCATGCTATTGTATTTGTAAAATACCTTCGAGTAAAAAGAGTAAGGTTTTCTTTGAGTTTACTGTTGTATTATAAACTGAGATAATATTTTCATGTGTTTTTTACACCAGGGCCATCCTCAGTTTCGTGGCAGCCCCCTGATGGGACATATCAAAATGGCCATCCTTCTGCTCCAGCTGTTATTCGTCCTGGCACTGTTCAGAAAATAGATCACCTTAAGAAATGGAGTATTTCAACTTACAAATACACTAGGCAGTATCTTTCAGAAAGGTTTGGGAAAGGAACAAGAACTGTAGACACTGAGCTTGAAGGACAAATTCTTTTGCTAAAAGAAACACAGGTCAAGTATGCTAGCATCCTGAAGCTTGCAAAACAGATGACGCAACATTTTCAACACATGGTTCAAAGTCAACGCGGTCTTGCTGATGCTTTTGCTGATTTAGGCATGAAGTCACCAGAGCTACAGGATGAGTTTAACTACAATGCAGAGACTCAAAGATCTCTTGTCAAGAATGGTGAAGTTCTTTTAGGTGCTCTAAATTTCTTCACGTCCAACTTGACCACGCTTGTACACAAGACCATGGAGGACTCCATCGTGACAGTGAAAGCTTATGAGTCTGCCAGAATAGAATATGATGCCTATAGAACAGACTTCGAGACTACCCAAGCAGGACCAAGAACAGCAGCAACTGCTGTAAAAGCTGAAGAGGCCAAACAACAGTATGATGTGCAAAAAGAAAAATTTGACAGGCTCCGTGGGGACTTGGCTATCAAGCTCAGATTTTTAGAGGAAAACAAGGTAGAGAACCTCATTTTCCTGAACGAGTCCCTATTACTGTTCATGATTTGACTGTGATAGACGGAAAATGGACTGTTTTTTTCATTGTTCTTACAGACACCAAAGAACAGAATATATAGACTTCAAATAATGAGTTTCATTTTTATGTGAATTAAAAGATGTTTAATTTCACAACTGCCAAGTTGTTTGTAGAGGCTATATTTCTGGTAATAAACAGTCCTGCAATGAATTGACATGCACTGTACAGGTTGCTTTTCTCTGTATTATTTTTTTGCATTTTCTGTAAGTGCTCAGAATTCTTCTGTGTGGAAATGAGCTTCACAGGTTATAAAATTTTATGAGGTATGGTATTTAAAGCCTTACTTTTCGTGCCTGCAAAGCTTAACTTAACTGATCACATTCTTTTTTCTCTGTTTGACTTAAATAGGTGAAGGTGATGCACAAGCAGTTATTGCTCTTCCAAAATGCTATAAGTGCTTATTTTGCTGGGAATAAGCAGGCCCTGGAGAACTGTATGAAGGAGTTTCATATCAAAATCAAGAGCAATGAAGGCAAACAGCAATCATTTCTGGAACACTAAAAGACAGTTACTGATGCATCATGTTTGTAGGTTATAGAAAATTTGAACAAGCAAGGACAAAAATAGAACTGCTTGTGTGATTTACATCACAGTAAGCTTTCTGTTGCTAGTAAGATGATTTTATTGCCTTTGAGCATTAACTTATTAATGTAAAATCTACTTAAAACCAAAGAAAAGGAGCAGATACATATGGAGAAAATAATGTGGTTTTTAGACTTTGGCTTGTTATCTAAAATTTAAGTTATGAGAAGTTATGATCAGTGGCTCTGTATATCTTTATCTGTATGCAAAAAGCATCAGTAGCATTTTTTTTTACACTGCATGTAGTTTCAAAATAATATTAGCCTTCTTATTCCTAGATCATGTTACGACAAGATTATTTGTTCCTCTAATTTTGAGATCTGAGGACAAGATCCTACTGAAATTAAATTTCTCACAAAACCAATTTCATATATTAAAGGTACAAAGGTACAATGTATTCAGTGGTTTGGTAGATGAGTGTGGATACATGTAGACAGTAAATAGGAGGTTTAAACCAGATTAATGTATCAATCTGTTGTTCAATTTCTCTTATCTTTTTTGTGTTCCTTTCCTGTATATTGTAAAATGATGACACAACTGAAAATAAAATTTACACTGCTACAGTCAAGTAGTATTATAGGTAGTGAAATTTTCTTACAACCTTGAAGGAAAACAAGTCAGGGATAGGGAACAAATAGAGAACAATACCAATGTAGTTTAGCAAGTGAAGCTAATGTTTGTAACTTTTGATTGTTTTAAGTTGAAGAGAATAAAACAGGACAAACTATTTAGGACCGAATAAAATAGGACCAACGCCTTTACATTTAGCTTTTCCTTGTTCTCTATCTAAGAAATATTCTCAAGGTCATTTGAAAATATCTCAACTTACCTACAGTATTCTTGTAATTTGTTCCTTTTAATTTAATACTCTATGCAGAAACATACATCAAGGAATAATATTATTATGATAAACATACTTAGTAATAGCTTAGTCAGATTGAATTCTGGTCTGTTTAGAGGTAAAAAGGAGAAAAAAGCAGAAGTCTAAAACATTTGCACAGGTTAAGTAGTTACCAGGGCCCAGTTGTTCGAAGGCCAATAAATTAGCGCTTAACATGGGGTTTAATTTAACCCATGGTTTCTTTTTCTTGTCCTCAAAAGCATTTTCTCAGATAACTTTCTCTGTTATTTTTAGAGCCTCCAATCATCAACCTGTAGACAAAAAGAATTAAAGCCGAAATGCTTTTTAAGCTTTCAAATCTGAATTCAAATCTCGCACTAACCTTGGTTTATCTTAACCCAGCTTTGAACACCTCAGCCTAGGTCAATAAACTTTAAATCATGTCATGCCAAATCAAGGTAGTGTGAACACTTTGCTCAGTCTTGAAAGCTGATGGGAGTATCAGTAAGTTATAAAGAAGTTTCTGTTAAATATGACAAATTACAAAGCAGGATCTTTCTTTGCTGCCAGAAAATATTATTGTAGTCATCAAGACAACAGCAACAAATGACATACAATTATATATTTGAAGTACAGGCATGGTAGTTTATATTAATGATGAAATCATTTTAGACCAGTAAGCTGTTATACTAATAACTTTGCAGTTGTTGGCTTCAAGACAGAGTTTTGGTCCCTTCTGTAGGTACCGATGCATAGATTACATACAACAAAAGACACAGTACAACCAAACAGTAAAGTCCATAAGAGAACTCCATTGTTTGGTTCCTATGATTATTTTGTGATGATGTTACCTGCAGAAAGTCCCAGAGTTTTGCTGTTCATACCATTCTGATTTGCATTGTTATAGTACACTTAAATAGCACAATACTGTTGTCAGTCTTCTTGGAATTCGAGAATAAATTTTTAAGGGTGTAAAACATTACTAAGATATTCACAGGCAGGTGATAACCCTATAGAGAACATCACAAAACATCCTCGGAGACCCAGGGCTCCTCTCTCTTCTGAAGAAAAAGAAGGAAAAATGCCTTTGCTTTTAGCCTGTGAACCTCTTCCCAGTTGTTGCTTCTCTCAACTTTTCAGCCGAGAGAAGTGAAAACTTTGAATAGTTCTGCGTTTTTCACAGGTGACTTTGCTATTGTTGGAAGTATGAATAATAATGGTAAATTCAATAAACATATGGTGTCAATGTTATTATCCCACCATGCAGTTCAGCTGGAGACCACCATTTATCACAAATTATGCTATAAAAGCTCCCCCCCCCCATCCTATGTAGATAGCATCATAAAATACCACCTTTCCAGCAACTTCCTAAAAAAAGTTTTTGAAAGAAACTGAAGAGAAGAAAGGTCAACTGGACTTGTAGCATGATGAAAAAAACAACAACAATAACAACAATTGAAAACATAAAGGGAAAGGGAGGTGCTTTTCTTCTCTTTGCCCAGTGGTTGACCCTGTGCCCCCCTATGTAAAAGAGTGGCACACAGGGTAACTAATGTAATGTTGTCAAGGGAAATTCTCCTTTGTCGTTTTTAAGTTTATACGAACGTATACTAAACAATAAGAAGATATTTAAAACAATCCACTCTCTTCTTGACCTGACCTCTATATCTGAGAAAACAAAACATTGTCAACTTTCAAATTCAACTTCAACTTTCAACTTTATTCCGTGGGATGCCTGTGGCACTCCCACGGTAAAAATCCGGTTCGGTTGTACCCAACTTTGCAAAGCCACCCAATAGGATTGCCTAAAATCTTTATCGATTAGCTCTTCTTCCAAGCCGACCAATCAGATTGTACAAAATCTGTATCGATTTTTAATCGATTTGCTTCCTCTGAAGAACGTTGAAATCAGAACGTTCCTTGNCAGTTAGCAAATGCCCATAATACACTCCGTTCCCCCGCCCCCACCCCGCCAAAGTTTGCACCCGACCGTCTTAGCAACCCACAGTGCTTTGCTGACCTTGGAAGCTATTCCTTCCGGTTATCGGAGCGCTTGTTTCAGTCATGAAATTTGACATGGTTCTCGCTATTAAAGCTACATTCGTGTGACTGAAATCAAAACACTCAAAACTGGGCATCATGTACTTCGATCAAGGAGAACAGAGGGAACTGAAAGTTTCCGTTATGTGGAAACGAGCCCAGAGAAAGAAGATGCTCACTTCAGTGAACTGGAAAGAGCGAGTGTTTGTTCTCACCCCTATAACTCTCAACTATTTTGAAGGCTCTGCAGAGGTAAGGATGTGCAAATACCTTAAAATGATGTAAATTGTACTTTGAATCCAATATTTCATGACTGTTCAAAGATCGGTGTTTTATCTCCGAGTTTGTACGTTTTGCACAAAATAATAATAACAAGACGCCACGTCGCGTACACAGTGTACGCTCCGTAGCGTCTTGTTATTAGGGACCTTAAGATCCAAGGACTGCGACGGCAGACAAAACGTCGCTGAAAAAGTGAATTCACGTTCTTCCAATCTTCATCGCGATTACTCCAAGTCACTAACTTTGTCAAATGTAGGTGAACCTTCCTAAAGTTAAATCCCTAAGAACCATATCTAAGTTCAGAAAGAGAAAGGAAATTTCTTTGTCGCTTGTGTACTTCCTCTTTAAAACGTGAAATTAGGCATTTTCACGTCGTAGTCGTGCAGTGACGGCAAAGAAATGTACAGAAAAGCGTGATGCACGTGCAAAGTTGTTGTTTTGCTAATCAAACCTATTGATTTTTTGAAGTTCTTGTTGCCGTCGCTGTCGTCGGATCAAGTAGCGCACGTGAGAGGACACAGAGGCTTTTTACTGGAAGTACAATCCCACGCAGGGATGTTTTCTCCGCTGGCAGCTAATCCGACTTAATCCCATTTAATAGGCCCTTTGCACTAGGGGGTGATGTGACATAATTTTCATGAAAATGAAAGCTATATGATTTTGCCTTCGAAAAACGATTAGTGGGTCATATCTTAAACAGAATAATAGTGATTTGGTTTTTCAAACCCACACCATTTTCTTAAAATGAGTAAGTTCCTCAATGGTCACGTGACCAAAATGTGATTTTTAAAATTATTAATTACTTCTTTCTGAACACAAGCTTTGCACTTAAACTTCAAGGAAGATGTTGAAAAAATGACGCGGTAACGTTTACAGCACATCTGAGCGTAACCACCAAACCAGATATAAGCCAAAAGTAGTTTTGGCCGCCATGTTGGAGGGCAAGAGTATGCCCTCCAACATGGCGGCCAATACAAATCATACTGCCTTGTTGAAAAATCAAAGTGCCATAAAATATCTCCCTTAAATGTGTTTCCTCTCAAATTTCGGGTGTAAGATAATTTTTATGTGCTCTCTCCATTTTTGGCATCAGCAAGATTCCAACTCATTGTTTAAAGGAAGCATTGGTCACGTGACCTCTTAGTGCAAGTGGCCTATATGTCACGTTCCTCGAAAGTGCGAAAATTTTCTTGTCGTGTATTAGATTTGAGATACATTTTCTTAATCTTCATTTCACGCCAGAATAAATTACTTTGCGCGCAAAGCGCTCCTGAAAAAATCACAAGGTTTGTCCCACTTCGAGTCCACCTTCTGGAGATACGCCGGCTTGGTAGCTAGAATACATTGCCGAGGCGAAGATCTGGCATTTTTCCCTCCTCGTCGTATTTTCTCCACGACAAATGTTTATATTTGTGGTGAGAATGCAGCGCATATCGGTGGATTTTACTTCATGTGGCTTGCTACTTCTGAAAGAAGAGTGCCGGATTTCATCGTTTTGTCCGTGTTTACTAGTGTTGGCGAATGTAAGGTAAATGAACCGACAACTGTAAGGTAAGAATTGAAGTTTTAAATTTGTTACTTGGCGAAAAATCGTGGAATTGGAATTCGTGAAACCCATGGGTATTACCTCTGTTACCTAATGTCATGCGATGACTCCTCGCTTTTTCGATGCGTAACACGGATACAAGAGATAAATTTCTTTCGCAAAGTGAAGTATAATTTACTTAACGAGACCATTTGACGAATATTTCTGGTTATATGCTTTATTTATATTTGCTTGGCTTATTCAGGCTACATGCCAGGAGTTTGATGACAATGTTTGTGTGCTATAATTAT